TCCAAAATCTGAAATTTTTGGGTTCATGTTCTCATCCAAGAGTATATTACTTGCCTTCAAATCTCTATGTATTACCTTCAAACAGGAATCACGATGGAGGTAAAGAAGTCCTCTGGCTACACCTTGAATAATATTGAAGCGTTTAGCCCAATCAAGCACTCCCCTTTTCATTGGATCTAATCAATTCACACATTAAAAATGTAACGCATTTTTGCATTCATATATCCGATGCATATAGTACAATGAAACATAAATATTAATCGCTAAAAATGAAGGCAAACATCAAGGTCGAGGGTAACTGACCGAATAAAAGAGTGTCCAAGCTTTTGTTTTGCATGAACTCGTAAATTATTAACTTCTCATCGTCTTTGATGCCGCAGCCCATCAGCCTTACAAGGTTCTTGTGTTGGAGTTTGGAGATCAACAACATCTCATTCTTGAACTCTTCTATGCCTTGCCCCGAGCAGCTGGATAGTCTTTTTACTGCTATTTCCTTCCCTTCTTCTAGCTTACCCTACGCGCACGAGGTCCACATATTGCACATTACATTTATGTCTATATAATTACATATTTTCCTTTGAACTGAAGAAAGCGCAAACGAATAATTACCCAATAAACTGCTCCAAATCCTCCTTCTCCAAGCTTGTTTGTGATGCTGAAATTGCTCGTAGCAATTAATATGCTATTGAAATCATATTCGTAGACTAATAGCTCTGATGGATCATGTGTTCTGATATATTCTCGAAGACTCTCTCTTGATGTCTCATTTGTATCAGTCAATCTAATCTCATTTCTCGTCACTTTGATGATTCCTGATTTTGCAGGTATAAAACAACCAAAATTGGAGTTAGAGAAACAACAAAGAAGTTGGATCAATTTACTCACCTAAGTAATTTATTATGTCAAAGGTTGCAGAGATATAAAGTTATGCATTGTTAATGTATTGACTGACTGCATCCCTCTACCTCATGCTCTTACCCTTTGGGTTAACTCGCAACTTGTACAAACCGAACACAATGGCAGCCATGATAATAAAACAAATTGATACGAGGCTGGCAACTAACTTTATTCGCTTTCCTTCTTCACCTGAAAAATTGAATTTGTATTACATAAAGTACTAAGACAGAAAACAACAGATATTTGTAAGCAAAGTTGTGCAAGCAATATAGTCACCTACCGAGTTCCGCGTTTGCTAAGCGGATAAAAAGATCTGCTCCACCAGAGGAAAACTCCGAAATATCAATAAGGTCTTTGGACCAGACCAAACAACCTATAGTGTTAACGTAAGCATAAGCCAAGCACGAACAATTATCTCGGCAAAGTATCCTGCAGTCTTCTTCATATAAAGGCGAATATTCATGATAATCTGGTAGTTTTACATTTGACATTTTCCAAAACCCATCTTCTTTTCTGCTCAAAGAAACTGACTGACTTGTGTTACTCCCACAAAACAATTGGGTTTGCCTCACACAACCTCTTGTCCTGTTTCCCCTGCTCCATTCATCAACTGACTTGGGTGCAAACCCTTTCAAACACTTGCAGATCGGAGTAGTTGAAGATTCTGAAGCTTCGCAAACCCCAAAAGGTCCGCACGTTCCATAGATGTCACATGGAATTTTTGGGGTCTCCCAGTGAAGATTCCAGTTTTCTCCATTTTTTGAATCCATACACTTATGTATTCCTTTCGAAGAGATGTACATATATTCCACAGTCTTGTCGAACAAATTGTACCAGAAATACTTTGTTCCCTGCTGCACATTAGCATCCAGATGAAATCCACTTAGATATTGATCATCCCTGCCTGGTATGCCGATGAACATTGATTTTTCCCACGGACCGCTTCTCCAAAATGGAGTTGATCCATTAATCCAAATGAAAATCTGTGCCGGGTTCTGTGGTGTCAATCCAAGCACGAATTCTCCGGTTGATGGATCATTCTCACTTTTCCAAGAAGTCAAGAAACTCCGCTTACCAGATTTACTATCGAATCCCAGCAGCATACTCGGCAGAATTGTGTCGCCAGGATAATCAAAGCTCTCCCATAGGTACTCATCTCCTGTATTGAATTTGACAACAAAGTTTCCGTTGTCTAAAAGAAGTGCAGCTGCTGAACCGTCAGATAACACCGAAATATTCGTTGACCAAACTGAATTCCGCTTCCCATCTACAAGCTGCAGATTTCCATTGCTCGTGATTGTCAAAGTAGCTAATGCGTCTGTAACTGCAAGAGGGCTGTCTCTGTTGGCCACCCATACAACTTTCCGCGGAAATACACTCTTGTGCCATATCCCAACGTACTTGTTAGCAGAACTGTTAGGACTAAAGAACCCCAATTCGAAAATGCCACCAGAGGAGACGAGAGTTTGTCCCTGTGCTAATGGTTGCAAAGAAGTTATGTTATAAACTTTTGCAGCAGAAGAAATCTGCGACAGAAGAAGCGAGATGATAGAGAAGAATAGGAAATCACAAAAACTTTGCGAGTTAATAATACCCATATGTTCTGTTGGTGAAAAAAATCAATTAATGATACACCTGAATAATGGATGTACATTTGAAGCTTGTTAGTTTTCTTACCAACTCACATGGGGTCACCAAATTGTCCTCCAAAACCTTAATGATGAGGATACTCCACGTGTACTGTTTTTAGCTAATTAATCATCGTAAAGCTTTTTTAGATAACTTTATTCCTATCTTAGAAATTCATCCTTCCTAGTTCGGAGAAATTTTTAATTGTAATGGAAACACAAGTGGTACACTACGTGTTTTAATAAGAATTATGAGAAATTTCACTAAAAAATCCCTCCCACTTCAGAGTGTCCACTATGCTCTTTTTGAATATTTTTTTTTCTATTACTGGGTATTACTCCACATGCTATAAAATTAGTAGAGAAAGAATAATTTGATATCGAACTCACATACTAAATTCGAATAAAAAAAGTTTCTTACTTAAAAGTAAAAATAACTGTAGTATATTATTTTTGAAAAAAAAAAAATCCAAACTTCGGTAGAAAAAGGTGAGATTCATATGCCTGACTAACCGACGTTATCCGCATTTGTCTCTCTTTTAACCTTTTGGCCATTCACTTTTTTATTCAGACTACAAAAGCAGACTCTTGAAACTTCAATATAAAAAGAATAAAATAAAGTCCCTCACCAAAAGAATAAAATAAAGTCCCTCACCAACCACAGGGTTAGTTTTTCTATTTGAATATACCGTCGTGAAAAGCACGGGTGTAGTGTAGGTGTTTGACCACGCATTATGTTTTTTTCTTATTGTTTTAATAAAAAATTAATATAAAATATTAACGTTATTTAACTGTAATCATTTAAGTAAAAAGGAAGATAATCTTCTTCTATCTTGGACCAGCTCTACTTGTAAGCTGTAGCTGTTATAAAACCATAAAAACTGAGTAAAAATATTGCTTGCATGACCAGTTATGAAAATAATCACAAAAGAAAAGCAAAAACCAAAAGTATTTGCATGCGATGCCGACCAACTCTGACAAACAACCTAACTAGCTAGTGAGGAAGCTTAATGCTAATGATAGACTAATCAATTTTAACCAAAACTAAAAATCCCACTAACTAAAATAAGCTAGTGCGGTGGTTGATTTGAATCCTGTGGATGCGATTGTCTTGGCTTTTCTTCACAGAAAATTAGCATCTGCCTCGATCAAACATTTCTGCAAGTACCTCTGCATATTTTTCCGTGCCGTTACTTGTCGTGATTGCTTTAGATGGATCCGTTTAATCGTGATGTTGCTATGCATTTTTCTGAAACTAAAACATGGATAATTTTTTTTAGAGACCTCAATGATACAAGAAGAATTTTATTGATAAAGTCAAAAAAAAATTACACCTAATCAGTAGGATATAAATTTAACCCCTTATAATACAAAAGAAAATGATGATAAAATGCATGAAGAAGAAGGAGGATATAAAACATTACCCCTCTAGTAACAAAAACAAAAAACATACAATGAAAACAATAAACATGCAAGAATTTCTTAATGTCCTAAGATTGTTGTTGTATGGTAGTTTCATTTGCGGAGAAAACATTTGCATGATGTGGTTGAGGGTCAACTACTGAGTTTTAGAAAGCAAACTAGAAATTAGCACCCGCACGTTGCTGCGGGTTTAAAAATTATATGATAGGTTATGTCTAAAAAATATAAAAGATTAATATTATTTATATTGACAACATTAAGAAGATTTTTACATGGAAAAAATTTGATTGATTTGGACCACATACAAAAGATCACATATTTGTTTTGTGAATGCCAAAAAGATTAGATGTGAGTTTATTTAAGTAGTTTATGTGGCTTTTGATCAATAGTAGTACTTACATATAAAAGATTGTGAAATACATGGAAAGAAGTATTAGGGAGTATTGTTTGATTTATATTGATAAAAGATAACAAAAGTTGTTCACTAGAATATCTAAAGTTTCCTTGTATTCTTGATTGCCAAGAAAGTAGCCTAGTCAAAAGAAAAAATAAAATAAAATAAAAGGTGCAATGAAATTAGATATCAACAAATTTATATTGTAAAGGATGTAAACGCAGAGATGAAATAATAACTCTATTGGTAGAATGAAAGTGAAATATATTTAGAATGGGCAATTTTATTTTTTTCCTAAAAGTTCATATAATGGCACTGCCAACACATGAATATATGATTAATGGCCAACATAAAATATAATGAATGGCATAATAACAATTTTTTTTTATTAAAATTAGCAGTCACTAAAAAAGTGCATCAACTTGCATCGTGGTAATTTTGCCGTTCATGCCACATATTTGCATTTGTAATAACGAATGCAGTGTGGCATGTCCAGACAACAATTTTCCCATGACAAATAGTCCAACAAGATAAATGTACTCTAATGTTTATGAATCAAATAAATTGAATAGGCAACAATAATTGGAAAAGGATGCCTGCACTCTAAACCACATCCTTTCATCAATAACATCTTAGTTTTTTAAATGTTTATGAATCAAATAAATTGAATATTCCACATCAGCTGCTGAAAGAAAGAAAGAAGAGTTTAAATATTTCAACTGCATTCCATCTAACACCGAGGTCTTTTGTGGTAAAACGCCACATCTATCAGACTATACAGGTGATAATTAACAAGTTGTGGATGATATCGGTACTGTTGGAAATGAGCTTTGGCCCATCTCTCTAATAATTTGACATTTTATACAATGTAAGATGCTTCAACACGAACTCCGAGTAGGTACAACCAATTTTGACAAGCAATCTGACTATTCAACATATAAACTAGACGAAGACTATGACTAGTCTATAACCAAACCTAGCAACTGATGTGGCTGAGATTAACTCGACTCGTAGGTCTAAGAACATGACCGAAATTCATTGCATTGTGATGCATCGGTATGTGGGTGAGGATCGTAGACTGATAAGTTTTCGAAATTAGTAAATATAGGCTGCTTTGGTGGTGGAAGATCCTTTTCACTACTTAGCATGAAAACTACATCTGGCATGGTAGGCCTGTCTGCGGCCTTGTCCTGCACGCAAAGAAGCCCAATACGCATACATCTCGTTACTTCTGATAAGGAATAAGAATCCGCCAACACTTCATCTACAAATTTCAATCCCCTGCCTTCATTCCACAAGTGCCATACCTGACAAAGTTCATTTATGTTGTTAATTATTAAACTGATCTGCTCATAATTTCATAATTCATTAGATTTAGGATGTGAGCTTACATAAGCTAGGAAGCCTTGCTGTTCTTCTTTGTAATAGAAGCTGGTACTTTTCCTGCCGCTAATGATTTCCAATAGCAAGACGCCGAAGCTATAGACATCAGATTTTTCAGAAAATATTCCTCCCATGGCATACTCTGGAGACATATAACCACTGGACAAGCAATTCATTAATTAGTATTTAGCTAAAATATTGCTTCTTTGTGTACGGTCTTGGGAAAAATGTTCTTCCAACAAGAGGAAAAGAAATTATGCTTACAGTGTTCCCACAACCTTGTGAGTAGTTGATAGACTTTGTGCTGCTTCAACGATTCGTGACAATCCAAAATCTGAAATTTTTGGGTTCATTTTCTCATTCAAGAGAATGTTACTGACTTTCAAATCTCTATGTATTACTTTCAAATAGGAATCACGATGAAGATAAAGAAGCCCTCTAGCGACACCCTGAATAATATTGAAGCATCTACCCCAATCAAGCACTGCTCTCCGCATTGGATCTAAACACAATACCCATCGAAATGTACAATTTAAAAATAAAAATAAAATAAAATAAATAGAACAGAGGTTACCAATATATTAATTAAGGAACTTGATAGGTAACAAAAAGAAATTCTAGCAAGACATAAAGAGTGCCGGTGAAAAAAACTAACTGAATAGAAGAGTATCCAAGCTTCTGTTTGGCATGAACTCATAAATCAGTAACTTCTCGTCGTCTTTAACGCAGCAACCCATGATCCTAACAAGATTTTTATGCTGGAGTTTGGAGATCAACAGCATTTCATTCTCGAATTCTTCCATGCCCTGCCCTGAGCTACTAGATAATCTTTTTACTGCTATTTCCTTCCCTTCTTCCAGCTTACCCTACACAAGGCCGGCGACAAATTAATCATTACACTATGCAGTTGTAGACTTGTAGGCTTGTAGCTGTTGTGAAATTAAATTTCCTACAGATAGAGAGACAGAAAAAAAAAAAAAAGAAGAATGTATAATCACCTTGTAAACAGGGCCAAATCCTCCTTCCCCAAGTTTGTTTGTGATACTGAAATTGTTCGTTGCGATTAATATGCTATCAAAATTATAGATGAATAGCTCCGATGGATCATATTTTCTAATATATTCTTGAAGAGTGTCTCTTGCGTTCTCAATTGTATCAGTTAATCTGCCATTTCCTGATATGGAAAACGTAAGAATAAAAGACTGAGTCAGATCGGCAGAATAACATATTCAGGTCAAACTAAGCATTTTTTGTTAGTTTGCTCATATCAATCACATCCATCTAATTCTCTTACCCTTTTTGTTAGCTCGCAACGTCTGGAAACCAAAAGCTATGGCGCCCAAGATACAAATCAAACAAATCGCTGTGAGGCTGGCAATTAACTTTATTGGCTTTCCTTCACCTGAAAATTTTGAATTAGTAATACAAAATTTGTGTGAAACATGTAGCTAGCTAATTGGAGCTGTACAAGCAATATTATCAGTTACCTAGTTCTGAGCGGTCCAGACGAACAAAAAGATCTTGTCCACCATAGGCAAATTCCTGTATATCAATTAAGTCATTGGACCAGGCCAAACACCCTATATTATTGACATATGCATAAGCCAGGCAAGAACAATTATTTAAGCATCTCGTTTTGCACTCTTCTGCATCCGAAGACCAGATATATTCATGAAAATCTGGTACTTTTAACCGCACCACCTTCAAAAACCCGTCTTCATTTCTTCTCGAAGCAACTGACTGGTTTGTATTAGTCTCACAAACCAATTTGGTTTGCCTCACACACCCTCCTGTCCTGTTTCCCTTGCTCCATTCCTCGTGTGACTTCGGTACAAACCCTTTCAAACACTTGCATATTGGAGTCGTTGGAGATTCAGAACTTTTGCAAATCCCGAAAGGTCCACATGCTGCATACTTATCACATGAACTGTTCTGTGCCACAAAGTTAAGAATCCAGTTCTCTCCACGCTCTGAACACTTAAGCTTAACTATACCGTCTGAAGAGATGTCAAAGTATGCCAAAGTGTCCCCGAAATTATAAGAATAATACTTTGGTCCTTGCCTCACATTATCATCCAAAATGAATCCACCTAGATACCCATCATTCGTACATGGTAGCCCGATGAACTTTGATTTATCCCACGGCCCGCTTCTCCAGTAGGGAGTTGATCCATTAATCCAGATTACAATCTGTGATGGCACCTCTGGTGTCAGTACAACCAAGAACATCCCCATCGATGGATCACTCTCACTTTTCCAGGAAGTCAGGAATTTTGTATCTCCTGATTTGTTATCGAACCCCAGCAGCATACTTGGCAAAAGTGTGTCGCTAGGATAATCAAAACTCTGCCACAATGGATCAGCTCCTACATCATAATCTTTTACGACAAAGTTTCCACTGTCTAAAAGAGCTGCAGCTGAACCATTAGATGGCACCGAAATATTCGTTGACCAAAGAGAATTCAGTTTTCCATCTACAAGCTCCAGATTCCCCTTGTTGCTTATTCTCAAATTCGCCAAGGTGTCTGAAGCTGCAATCGGCTTTTCTCTGTTGGCCACCCATACAACTTTTCGAGGAAATATACTCTTGTGCCACATCCCCACGTACTTATTATTACCGGAATTATTATTAGGACTGAAGAATCCCAATTCGAAAACATGGCCAGGGGAGACAATAGATTGTCCCTCTGATAATGGTTGCGAAGGATTTATCTCATAAATTTCGACACAACGGTGCCGTGACAGAAGAAGCAAGCTGAAGAAGAATATGAAAAACATGAAGAAATTCAAAGCATTAACTGTCGCAATACTAACAATTGAATACCATTTTGGGCTAAAATTCAGATAAAATAATTTTATGAATGGCAGATGGATTCGCATTTTAAGCGTATTAAACTATTAGTAAACTTCACTCTCAAAGTCAATATTTTTGCTTCATCTTTCAGCAGTTTCGCATTTTATTTCAACAGCTGAGATTATAAAATTCAGTAATCTCATGCGGTGCTTACGTCTGCGTTTTATACATTGAAAGAAGCTTCTACACGAACTTTGACCAACTACAACCAATTTCAACAAGCAGTCTGACTATTTAACATATAATACTGATAGACTAAGACTGACTAGTCTATTAAACAAACGTAACAATTGATGTGACTGAGATTAAATTGAGTTGTAGGTCTAAGAACATTCCAGAATAATGATCGAAATTTCATTGCATTGTGATTCAATGGTATGGGATTGCTTATCGTCCTTCGATCATTGTTATGGTACCTTCATCCACAGAGAAAATGTTGTCGTAATGTGGGTGAGGATCGAAGACTGATGAGTTTTCGAAATTAGAAAATATAGGCTGCTTAGGTGGTGGAGGATCCTTTTCACTACTTAGCATGAAAACTACATCCGGCATGGTAGGCCTGTCCGCGGCCTTGTCCTGCACACAAAGAAGCCCGATATGCATGCATCTCGTTACTTCTGATGAGGAATAAGAATCTGCCAACACTTCATCTACAAATTTCAATCCCCTCCCTTCATTCCATAACTGCCATGCCTGACAAAGTTAATTTATGTTGGCTACAATTGTTAAACTGATCTGCTCATAATTTCATAATTCATTAGATTAGAATGTGAGCTTACATAAGCTAGGAAGCCTAGTTGTTCTTCGCTGTAATAGAAGCTGGTATTTTTACTGCCACTAATGATCTCCAATAGCAAGATGCCAAAGCTATAGACATCAGATTTTTCAGAAAATACTCCAACCATGGCATACTCTGGAGACATATAACCACTAGACAAGCAATTCGTTAATTAGTATTAGCTAAATATTGCTTCTTTGTGTAAGGTCTTGGGAAAAATGTTCTTCCAAGAAGAGGAAAAGAAATTATGCTTACAGTGTTCCCACAACCTTGTGAGTAGTTGATAGACTCTGTGCTGCTTCAACGATTCGTGACAATCCAAAATCTGAAATTTTTGGGTTCATTTTCTCATCCAAGAGAATGTTACTAACCTTCAAATCTCTATGTATTACTTTCAAATAGGAATCACGATGAAGATAAAGAAACCCTCTAGCGACACCCTGAATAATATTGAAGCGTCTACTCCAATCAAGCACTGCTCTCAGCGTTGGATCTAATCACAATAATACCCATTACAAATGTACAATTTAAAACAATAGAACAGAGATTACCAATATATTAATTAAGGAACGCGATAGGTAACGAAAAGAAAACTAACTGAATAGAAGAGTATCCAAGCTTCTGTATGGCATGAACTCATAAATCAGTAACTTCTCATCGTCTTTAACGCAGCAACCCATGATCCTAACAAGATTTTTATGCTGGAGTTTGGAGATCAACAGCATTTCATTCTTGAACTCTTCCATGCCCTGCCCTGAGCTACTAGATAGTCTTTTTACTGCTATTTCCTTCCCTTCTTCCAGCTTACCCTACACGAGGCCGGCGACAAATTAATCATTACACTGGTATCTGTATCTTGCAGTTGTAGACTTGTAGGCTTGTAGCTGTGCGATATTAAATTTTCCTATAGATAGAGAAAAAAAATGCATAATCACCTTGTATACAGGGCCAAATCCTCCTTCCCCGAGCTTGTTTGTGATACTGAAATTGTTCGTTGCAATTAATATGCTATAAAAATTATAGATGAATAGCTCTGATGGATCATGTTTTCTAATATATTCTTGAAGAGTGTCTCTTGTGTTCTTGAATGTATCAGTTAATCTGGCATTTCCTGATATGGATATTGTAAGAATAAAAAACCAAGTCAGGTCAGCGTCCAAGCATTTTTGGTTAGTTTGCTCATGTCAATCACATCCATCTCATTCTCTTACCCTTTTTGTTAGCTCGCAACCTCTGGAAACCAAACGCTGTGGCACCCAAGATACTAATCAAACAAATTGCTGTGAGGCTGGAAATTAACTTTATTGGCTTTCCTTCACCTGAAAAATTTGAATTAGTAATACAAAAGTTGTGTAAAACATATAGCTAGCTAATTGGAGCTGTACAAGCAATATTATCATTTACCTAGTTCTGAACGGTCGAGGCGAACAAAAAGATCTTCTCCACCATAGGCAAATTCCTGCATGTCAATAAGGTCTTTGGACCAGACCAAACATCCTATGTTATTAACATGTGCATAAGCCAGGCAAGAACAATTTTTCAGGCAATGTGTCCTGCACTCTTGTGCATCCAAAGACGTGATATATTCATGAAAATCTGGTACTTTTAACCGCACCATCTTCAGAAACCCATCTTCAGTTTTTCTCGAAGCAACTGACTGGTTTGTATTAGTCTCACAAACCAGTTTGGTTTGCCTCACACACCCTCCTGTCCTGTTTCCCTTGCTCCATTCCTCGTGTGACTTCGGTGCAAACCCTTTCAAACACTTGCATATTGGAGTCGTTGGAGATTCAGAACGTTTGCAAATCCCGAAAGGTCCACATGCTGCATACTTATCACATGAACTGTTCTGTGCTACAAAGTCAAGAATCCAGTTCTCTCCATGTTCCGAATACATAAGTTTAAGTATACCGTCTGAAGAGATGTCTGAGTATGCCAAAGTGTCCCCGAAATTAAAAAAATTATACTTTGTTTCTTGCCTCACATTATCATCTAATTTGAGTCCATTTATATACCCATTATTCGTACCTGGTAGCCCAATGTACCTTGATTTATCCCACGGCCCGCTTCTCCAGTAGGGAGTTGATCCATTAATCCAGACTACAATCTGTGATGGCACCTCTGTTGTCAGTCCAACCAAGAACATCCCCGTCGATGGATCACTCTCACTTTTCCAGGAAGTCAGGAAATTCGTATCTCCAGATTTGCTATCGAACCCCAGCAGCATACCTGGCAGATGCGTGTCACTAGGATAATCAAAACTCTGCCACAATGGATCAGCTCCTACATCATCATCTTTTACGACAAAGTTTCCGCTGTCTAAAAGAGCTGCAGCTGAGCCATTAGATGGCACTGAAATATTCGTTGACCAAAGAGAGTTCTTTTTTCCATCTACAAGCTCCAGATTCCCCTTGCTGCTTATTCTCAAACTTGCCAAGGTGTCTGAAGCTGCAACCGGCTTTTCTCTGTTGGCCACCCATACAACTTTTCGAGGAAAAATACTCTTGTGCCATATCCCCACGTACTTATTCTTACCAGAATCGTTATTAGGGCTGAAGAATCCCAATTCGAAAACCAGGCTGGGGGAGACAAGAGTTTGTCCCTCTGATAATGGTTGTGCAGGACTTATCTCGTAAACTTCGGCACAATGGTGCCGTGACAGAAGAAGCAAGCTAAAGAAGAACAGGAAGAACATGGAGGAATTCAAAGGATTAACACTAGTTTTGGTTCCAATTTGCATCTGAATGGTTAAAATTTGCTGGGAGTACAATGCGATGGAACATTGAAATACTGTTTTGGGCTAGAATTGAGATGAAAGAATTTTACGAATAGCAGGTGAATTCGCATTTGAAGCGTACTGGACTGCTCTTAAACTTCAGTCAGTGAAATGACTTCCATTTCTTTGAGCAGAAAACTTCTGCGAATGCTCTCTAAGTCAATATATTTGCTTCGTCTTTCAGCAGTTTCAAGTTTTATTCCAACAGCTGAGATTTACTGACTTTGCTTCATTTTTCAGCAGTGTCACGTTTTATTCCAACAGCTGAGATTTATTGACTTTGCTTCATCTCTTTCACGTTTTATTCCAACAGCTGAGATTTACTCACTTGACTTCATCTTTCGGCAGTTTCACGTTTTATTTCAGCAGCTGAGGTTTATTGACTTTGCTCAATCTTTTTGCACTTTCACGTTTTGTAACAACCCGTTCCGCAATTTACTCTACAGAAAAAGTATTTTTGTGTTTTCACCAAGTTTGGGAATTTATTTTCCTTTTAAAATTTGTTGTTGGGTCTTAAATGGTGAGCCTGGGGACCCACCCCTGATTTCTGACCCCAGCGTCCCATCTCTCTCTTCTCTCTCTGTTTTCTCTTTCCCGTATCTCCATTTCTCTGCAACTCTCTCCCTCTCACCCGTGTCTCAATTTCCGGCCAAACCACGGCGATTTGGCCGACGTGCAAGGTATCAATCTCTTCGTCTCGCTGAGAACTACAACTTTCCTTTTTGTTTCACTCAATTTCGTTGCCTATGGAAGAAGTTATACGCATTTGAATCTTACCCAGTTTCCGGCGACCTCTGAGGCTTTCGAGGAATTTTACGGCCAAACCACGGCGAGTTAGACGTCGTGTGAGGTACTATTCTCTTCGTCTCTTCGAAGGCTACAACTTTCGTTCTTATTTCACTTGATTTCGTTAAGTATTGACAAAGTTATGAGCGTATAAAGTTAGAGAACTTTTCGGCCGAATTTCCGGCTTTCTTTTCCATTGGGTCCTGCGACCCACCAAACCCAAGGCCTTTGGGCCTTCCTGCCGAGCCCAACCCTTTTGGTTGTGAGGCCTTTGGGCCGTGTGTGTGTTGTGTGTGTAAGTGTGTGTGGTGTGTGTGATGTGCAGCCCGTGTGTGTGTATTTAGTGTGTGTGTGTGCGTGTGTGTGTATTTAGTGTGTGTGTGCGTGTGTGTATATGCATGTCATGCATGCCGTGCATGTGTCGTGCTTGTGTTGTGTGGTGTGTGTGTGTGTGTTTGGGCTTAGGCCCAAACCACATTGCTTCACCTTAAACCCATGCATGCCGTGCATGTGTCGTGCTTGTGTTGTGTGGTGTGTGTGTGTTTGGGCTTAGGCCCAAACCACATTTCTTCACCCTAAACCCTTTTAATCCAAAAGCCTTAGGATTCTAAAACTCATTAGACCCTAAACCCAATAGATCCTAATCCTATTTAACTTAAACCCTAACCTGGATTCAAGCCTAAAACCCGTTTGACCTAGTTTGACCGTTGACCCCCGGTCAACGTTGACTTTAGAGTTGACTTTCTGAATCCGTTTCCAATATTCGT